ACCACAAGTTAAGTTACCGATGAACGAAGACGAAAGAGGGGATGCCATCCGGGGCATCCCTAGGCTTAGGCTCTTGGTTGTCCTTGAATATTACCTTGGGGTGCCTTGGGCATCCCCAAGCTTAGGCTCTTGCCACTCATTATTCCATAGTCCATCGAATCTTTACCCAAAACTTGAAAACTTCACAACACAAAACTCAACAGAAAACTCGTAAGCCCCGTTAGTATAAGAAAGCAAATCACCACTTAGGTACTGTCAAGACAAGATTAATAATGTTTCTCACATTATGCCTACTGTACCATATCATTTCTACAATTTATATTAAGCAATATAAGCCATAGAAACTAGAAAACAAGCAAACTATGCATCGAAAACAGAATCTGCGAAAAACAGAACAGTCTGTAGTAGTCTGTAGCTCTCGAATACTCTGTAACTCCAAAAATTCTGAGAAATTAGGAAGTCCTAGGAAATTTATATATTCATCTACTTTAGTTGGAATTGGTAATTTATCGCTCTCTGGTAAAAATGAAAATTATTTTCGTGAGCGCATACTTTCTGTTTTTATCAGCAAGATCAAACAATAATCACCCAAGAAGATCCTAAAGGCTTTACTTGGCACAAACACTAATTATAACATAAAAAACACAATCATAACAGAAGCTAGATGAATTATTTATTAGTAAACAGGATCAACAAGCAAAGAACAAAAATAAACTTGGGTTGCCTCCCAACAAGCGCTATCGTTTAACGCCCCTAGCTAGGCATGATGATTTCAATGATGCTCGCATAAAGGATAAGAATTGAAACATAAAGAGAGCATCATGAAGAATATGACTAGCACATTTCAGTCTAACCCACTTCCTATGCATAGGGAGTTTGTGAGCAAACAACTTGTGGTAACAAGAATCAACTTGCATAGGAAGGTAAAACAAGCAAATCTTCAAGATTTTCAACACATAGAGAGGAAACTTGATATTATTGCAATTCCTACAAGCATATGTTCCTCCCTCATAATAATTACATGTAGGATCATAAGCAAATTCAACAATATAGCTATCACAAAACATATTCTTAACACGATCCACATGTATGCTAAGTTGACACTCTTCCAAAATAGTGGGATTAACATTAACTAAAGTCATGACCTCTCTAAACCCACTTTCATATTTATCACAATAAGATTCAACACCCTCCAAAATAGTGGGATCATTACTTCCTAAAGTTGACACTCTTCCAAACCCACTTTCATCAATATAATCATCATAAATAGGAGGCATGCTATCATCAAAATAAATTTGCTCATCAAAACTTGGGGGACAAAAAATATCATCTTCATCAAACATAGCATCCCCAAGCTCGTGGCTTTGCATATCATTAGCATCATGGATATTCAAAGAATTCATACTAACAACATTGCAATCATGCTCATCATCCAAAGATTTAGTGCCAAACATTTTAATACATTCTTCTTCTAACACTTTGGCACAATTATCGGAATCCTTATTTTCACGAAAGACATTAAAAAGATGAAGCATATGAGGCAACCTTAATTCCATTTTTTTGTAGTTTTCATTTATAGACTAAACTAGTGATAAAACAAGAGACTGAAAGACTCGATTGCAAGATCTAAAGACGTTGTTGGGCCTCCAAGTGCAGAGGTTTATAAAGGTTTTTGTAATCTAAAAATATAAGAACAACAAGGTAGCAAGTGGTAAAAGTGAGTGAAAATGGTATTGCAATGCATTGAAACAAGGCCTATGGTTCATACTTTCACTAGTGCAAGTTCTCTCAACAATAATAACATAATTGGATCATATAACTATCCCTCAACATGCAACAAAGAGTCACTCCAAAGTCACTAATAGAGGAGAACAAACGAAGAGATTATTGTAGGGTACGAAACCACCTCAAAGTAATTCTTTCCGATCAATCCGTTGGGCTATTCCTATAAGTGTCACAAACAGCCCTAGAGTTCGTAATAAAATAACACCTCAAGACACAAATCAACCAAAACCGTAATGTCACCTAGATACTCCAATGTCACCTCAAGTATCCGTGGGTATGATTATACGATATGCATCACACAATCTCAGATTCATCTATTCAACCAACACAAAGAACTTTAAAGGGTGCCCCAAAGTTTCTACCGGAGAGTCAAGACGAAAACGTGTGCCAACCCCTATGCATAAGTTCACGAGGTCACGGAACTCACAAGTTGATCACCAAAACATACATCAAGTGGCTCACGTGAATATCCCAATGTCACCACAGATAAGCACATGCAAGACATACATCAAGTGTTCTCAAATCCTTAAAGACTCAATCCAATAAGATAACTTCAAAGGGAAAACTCAATTCATCACAAGGAGATAGAGGGGGAGAAACATCATAAGATCCAACTATAATAGCAAAGCTCGTGATACATCAAGATCATGCCAAATCAAGAACACGAGAGAGAGAGAGAGAGAGAGAGAGAGAGAGAGAGAGAGAGATCAAACACATAGCTACTAGTACATAACCTCAGCCCCGAGGGTGAACTACTCCCTCCTCGTCATGGAGAGCGCCGGGATGATGAAGATGGCCACCGGAGAGGGATTCCCCCCCCCCTCCGGCAGGGTGCCGAAACAGGTCTAGATTGGTTTTCAGTGGCTACATAGGCTTGTAGCGGCGGAAGTCCCGGTCTAGGTTATGTTCTGGAAGTTTGGGTATATATAAGAGATGTTGGCGTCAGGAACAAGTCAGAGGGTCCCTGAGGTGGCCATGAGGTAGGGGGCGCACCCAGGGGGTAGGGCGCGCCCCCCACCCTCGTGGGTGCCTCGGGACTCTTCTGGCCCATCTCCGATACTCCGTGGGCTTCTTCTGGTCCAGAAATAATCTCCATGAAATTTCAAGTCAGTTGGACTCCGTTTGGTTTTCCTTTTCTGCGATACTCAAAAACAAGGAAAAAAATAAAAACTAGCACTGGGCTCTAGGTTAATAGGTTAGTCCCAAAAATCATATAAAATAGCATATAAATGCATATAAAACATCCAAGATGGATAATATAATAGCATGAAACAATCAAAAAATTATAGATACGTTGTAGACGTATCATCGTGCTGCCGGAGGACTCGAGCTACTACTTCACCATCGCTCGCTGGATCGAGGAGGTGAAAGCGTCATCAAGTCGTACATGTGTTGAACGCGGAGGTGTCGTCTGTTCGGCACTTGGATCGGGAGTTCGCGGGACGGATCGAGATTGGATCGCGAAGACGTTCGCGGGATGGATCGTGATTGGATCGTGAAGACATTCGACTACATCAACCACGTTTCTGAACGCTTCTGCTCAGCGATCTACAAGGGTATGTAGATCCAATCTCTCCTCTCGTAGATGTTCATCTCCTAGATTGATCTTAGTGAGCGTAGAAATTTTTTTGTTTCCCATGCAACGTTCCCCAACATTGATTAGGGCAATCTTACCAGCCTGAGTATTGTATCTGCCCCTCCAAGGCATGACACGATTGCCTACTTTGGCCACCGCAGGGGCAAAATCTTTTGCCAAAACATTATCAGAGGAGATAGGTAGCCCGAGGTATTTTAGAGGAAAGGAGCCTAAAGAACAGTTCAGTAGTTGAGAGACATGCAGGGCCTCAGCATCGGAAACCCCAGTAACAATCACTTCACTCTTTACGGAATTAATCTTGAGCCCCGACAAGTCTCAAAACAAAGCAGTAAGAACTTAAGGTGGGTAATGCAAGCGTCGTTTAATTTGACCATAATAATCGTGTCATCAGCATATTGGACGTGAGTGATCCCCTCTGGAATGAGGTGAGAACTGACAGGGGAGATGTGCTCGGCCGCAGCCGCCCTAGATAGGATGTTGGAGAGAGCATCTGCAACGAAATTAGACAAGATAGGGGAAGCCGGATCGCCGTGCCTGAGGCCCATGGAGTTATGGAAGAAATTGCTCACCCTACCATTCACCGACACCGATGTGTGACCAACCGACACCAATTGCATGACCCTATAGACAAAGGCTCCTTCAGAGCCTTTTGCCAGTAGGACTTGCTGTAAAAACTTTCAACTGACCGAGTCATAAGCTTTCTCAAAGTCTAGCTTAAGGATTACCGCTTTTCTACCTTTCCTACGAATGTCATGGATAATTTCGTGAAGACAAAGAACTCCGTCCAGGATGAATCGCCCTTTAACAAAGGCAAACTGATAAGGGGAAAGAGTACGGTGTGCAACAGGTGAGAGACGAGAGGCATAGCCTATGACGGGGAACTTCCCAAAGTTATTAATAAGGGCAATAGGTCTGAATTGAGAGATCAGGTCCACGCCCTTGACTTTAGGAATGAGGATGATGACAGCGTAGTTAAGCCTGAAAATATCAACCGTGCCCAAACAGAACCCTTGAATCACAACACAAATAAGAGTAGTTTAAATAACTCTACGAGCGAGAAAAAGGGTCTGGCTGCGGATAAAATACCGTGTCCTTTTAGAGGTCTATGTTTTAGATGCCCTCAGGGCAATGTATAATATTACTATTTTAGGAGTGCCACGTATAATAAATGCTAAGATGAAAGAGAGAGAAATCATAAAAAAAACTTGTCTTCTCTTATTTAAGAGATGGTCTCCTAGGACAATATATCTCATCATGTTTTTAAGAATAGCTAGTTACTAAAATAAGATTAAGATATAACTCATCATAGACATACATTTTTGTCATCTCTAAATTACATGCTTAGTGATCCGTTTTAATAGAATGCACAGATCGGAGTGCTTACCTCCATCGATCGAAAGAGACCGAGAGGGCACAGGTCAAATACACAAACTGGCATCCCGTACAAAATACTGGAGATGACTAACACCACACCAGTACCACTATATATATGTGCATGTGCGTCTCCTTAGGCACGCTAGGACAAATGGTGATCACGCCCTGCGCATGCTATATAAGCGTACGTACGACGCGTGCATGTGCTCCTATCAAAACAGTCGTGGTTCTTTGATAATGATCTTCACTTGTGAACGTTGCAATCAGCTCCTGCAAGAGCACTATCCCCACGGCCGTCACCGGGTCCCCAGCCGTCCTCGAGCGGCATCGTCGGCATTGCCGGCATGATGTTCTTCCAGAATCTATGCTTGCTCCAGAGCAGCACCATCTCCTCAATCGGCACGCCCTTGGTCTCCGGCAGGAAGACATAGACGAAGGCGGTCATGACGGCGATCCAGCCGGCGAAGAAGATGAAGATGGCGTACTTGAAGACGCATAGCAGCGACAGGAACGCCTGCGCGATGACGAAGGTGAAGAAGAGGTTGACGGCCACCGTGATGCTCTGCCCCGCCGAGCGCGTCTCCAGCGGAAAGATCTCGCTCGGTACCGTCCACCCTAGCGGACCCCACGACCACCCGAACGCGAGCATGAAGAGGCAGATCACGAAGACCACCGCGGTCGAGCAGCCCCGCGATAGATGCTTGTCTGAGCCGAACTCCACCCCCAGTATCGCCGCCACGATCACCTGGCAGATGATCATTAGGATGCCGCCGCTGATGAGGAGCTTCCTCCTACCGAGGCGGTCGACGGTGGCGATTGAAATGAGCGTGGAGAACAAGAGTACGGCGCCGGTGAGCATGGACGAGTAGAGGGACCAGCTGGCGCCGAAGCCCATGCTCTGGAACAACACCGGCGCGTAGAACAGGATAGAGTTGATGCCCGTCAGGATCTGAAACGCCGGCATGCACACGGCCATCACCAGCTGCGGCCGGTTGCGCCGCTCGAGGATGTTCCGGAACGGATGCTTGATGGTGTTGGCCAGTTCACTCGCCTCCGCCATGTCCGTGAACTCAGCGTCGACGTCCGTGGTGCCACGGATCAGCTCCAGCACGCGCCGGCCCTCCTCATCGTGCCCGCGCTCGATGAGGCTATTCGGCGTCTCCGGGAGGAGGAACCCGCCCACCGTCATCAACAGCGCCGGTGCTGCCACGAGGCCGAGCGAGAGTCGCCACCCCCACGGCTTGATTTTCTGCGTGCCGTAGTTGATCATGTTCGCCGAGAAGATGCCAAGCGTCGTCGCGAGCTGAAACATCATGTTCAGCCCGCCGCGGAGGTGCGCCGGCGCCATCTCCGACAAGTACAGCGGCACAGCCTATGATGGCATCAACAACTTTGTTGAAGTGGCAGTTCTATAAGCACATGCAATCACCCACTCTACGTATGTGTGAGCTTACCACACCTGATTACCGAAACCGATGCCGACGCCAAGCATGACGCGGCCGAGGATCAACGTCGTGAGGTCCGCAGCCGCGGCGTTTAGGGCTGCGCCGATGAGGAAGCTGATGCCGCCGCAGATAATACTGGCGCGACGGCCATAGTTCCTTGTCACCGGTGCGGCTGCAAGCGTAGAGACTTGGCCGGAGAGGTAGAGGATGGAGGTGAAGGCGGAGAGGGCCTGGTTGTCGTACTTGCAGTAGTTATTCAGGGTCACCAAGTTCTTTCGCCGGAACACCGCCGGGAAGAACCTCTCGAGGAACGGGTCCATGGTGTTCACTCCTGTTATAATATGCGTAATAAGAGTGAGACACGGAATGACATCAACACATTAAGAAGGAAAGGAAAATTGTTTTATAGCTCAAACCATTTGTCGGATCCATCTCATAGGAGTGAGAGCTGGGGTTTTCACGTTAGTTTATGCATGGAAAAAACCTCATACACATGATCTCTTTACACCATGTGTTGTCGTGCCTTGTGTCTAGAGCGCGTCTATGGTGACTTACATGGACATAACAACTTGTGATGTCAATTGCTGGATCTAGCACTCGCGCTTAAATATATAGCTTGATGTTCATGAAAAAAAAATCCATGCAATTATGAAGAGTTTGGGACAGAAATCAAAGTTTCAGGTATCGCACTGGCACTGCAGCGTGTTGTGATACCCCTGCAAGTCGTCTAAAAGCATGCGTTGTGAGTGTCCTTTGCTCCCTCAAAATACTCTCCTTCCTTCCATAGGAGGTCTCCATATGTTTGCAGCTTTCGGCCTCTAAGCAAGGTTAGCATCTTTGCCCACGATATGCTAAAGAAAAAAAAAAGCATCTTTGCCTACGGCACGGCAGAGAAGCAGCCACACTCGTACAACCCAACCCCAAGTGACTCAGCCGAGATTATAAAAAAAAAGGATAGAACGACATGATTGTTCATGCACCTGCTAGGTGGGTGGTTACGTACCGGAGATCCCGATGTCGTAGCCGAAGATGGAACCCCCGATGGCGGCGACGATGCACGCCATGGCGACGGCGAACGTCATGTGGCCCTTGTACTCCGCCGCCCTCTCCTTCTTCACACCCAGCGGAGCCATGCTGCCAGCCATCTCCTGCTCCTCTCCTCTCCTCTCCTGGAATTCAAGTCAAGCTAGGGGTGTGCCTACGTTCAGCCGAAGGAACTGCTCTCTCTACACATAGCATAAGCGATGCGGGCGCTAGCTTTTGTAGCTCCTCAGAGGGGAGCGACGGCAGTGGGGAGTGGCGGGGGCGAGTGACATCGCCATCACATCAGGTGTTCGCGACACGCACGACGCCGACATGGCCTCTAGGCCAGCTCGCGCCGGTCGCCAGCTCGCGCCGGTCGATCAACGATCGCGCCATCAAGGCACTCAGCGGGAGCGTGTGGACGTGGCGCCGCTCTCTGCGCGCCTCGCGTCGACGTACATTGCCACCCGGATGTTTTTTTTTTTTGGATTATGTACATATATATGTAAGGAGTCCCACACCGGGCCCCCAATTTCATCACCAAATTGAGTGGCTGCACATCACAGCATCCACCACCACCATCAGTACAGGCCAAAAGAATTTCGCTCCATATAGCGATCAGGGGCGGCAAGAACGCTAATAAAGCAAGACCATAACCAGGAGAGAAAAAACGGAAAGTGCATGAATTAGGATGCTGATTGGTTGTTGTCAACAATTGACATGCCAAATGTTGACAAGTATGAAAAATAGGCTACCAAGTGATTTTTGTCAACCTCTAAAAAATTGTCAACTTTCGACAACGTTTGATTTTTTATTTTATTTTTCAATAATGCAGCCTTGTCAAATATTGGTATCAAACCAATCAGCCTCTATATATAGTTGTTTCAGAGTCGGGGGTCGCTACACGCTATGATAGCATGGATACACATTCACACGGAACCTCTTAGGGTAGGGAATAGAGTTCAGCGGATGGCTACATCATCATCCTCCTCGACACAAGATTTCAGCCATGTGATCATAGATTGTCAGTCTCTGCGAGAAAGAAATTCAGCCATGCAGTCATATATACATCGTCAATCTCCTCGACACAAGATTCCAGCCATGCATTCACCCAAACATCTTATGTGACATCAAGGCCATTTTTGGTGTCCCCTACGGCTAGCGCCTTTATAGCACTTCCCGCAGAGAAAAAAAGGCCTTTGTAGGTCGTCTTGCGGGAGTTTCCGCCCCAAGTGTTCAACAACGGGTGTGGAAATGGAATTACATTAGTATGGTCGCTAGATTTAACACCTAGAACAGATGATTTGTTGTGTTTTTCAAATATAGTCTTGAAAATAGTAGCCCCTATCATGACTACATTGCGATCTCTATCGGTGAAAGTGGGAAACTAGCTGCTAGCTACAAAGATCGGCAAAATTGCTAACCTTCTTGTTAATCCATGAGGAAACACTAGCTAAGTTTTCTCAAAGATTAATGCGGGGGTCTTCCGGAATGTATCCACCATGCCAACCATCATCATGAATTTAGCTAGGTTTTCCAGATTATTATGACACCAAAATATTTAGTTAGGGGTTCAGAAACAACGGAAGCGCTCAAAAAGGGATGGCGTCCCTCCTTATGCTTACTTCGTGAGAAATATGAACGAGCGAAATGTGAGGACCTTGCGGAATGTATCCACCATGCCAACCATCACTAGTAGAAAAAGGGGCTTTCATTCGGGCCTAGCCAGCCCATTAGTCCCGGTTCTTCCATGAACCGGGACCAATGGATGCGTTCATCCCGGTTCGTGAGCCCAGGGGGCCGGCCGGAGCCTCGTGGGCAATGGTCCCGATTCGTATGGACCCATTTGTCCCGGTTCTAGGCACGAACCGGGACCAATGAGCTCACTCCTGGCCCACAAACATTGGTCCCGGTTCTTGGCTCGAACCGGCACAGAAGGCTGGGCTTTAGTCCCGGTTCCAGCCACGAACCGGGACAAATGAGTTGCCTATATATACCCCATCGCCGGCGAGCAGAGCACTCCACAGTGCTCTGTTTTTGCTGGCCGACGAGGAAGGGCATTTGGGTGCTCTAGCTCACCTCTTATGCATGTGAGGTGTTTGATGAAATGCCCAAGCCACACTAGTTAAGCTTTCTCCTCTCGAAGCTCGACCTCCGAGCTCCATTTTTTCCGAGATTAGTCTAGGTTTAGCGGTCCATCACGCCCCGTCCTCGTCTTCACCGCCGTCGATCGCCCGTGCCGATCTCGTCGCCGGCACCACCGTGGTGAGCCTCTTGTTCTTATCTTCTTTCTGAAAGAAAAAATCTTACTTTAGATAGATACTTGTCTAATTTTCTTACTTTTGACACACATAATTATATATAATGCACGCAGATGAACCGGCAATGGATGTACGGTGACAGACACACCTCCGAGTATATTAAGGGCGTGCGTAAATTTCTCGAAGTGGCTGAGGCAAACAAGCAGAATGGTTTTATGTGTTGTCCATGCCCTGATTGTGGGAATACGAGGTCTTACTCTGACAAGAAAATCCTTCACATCCACCTGCTTTATAAGGGTTTCATGTCACACTATAATGTTTGGACGAAGCACGGAGAAATAGGGGTTATGATGGAAGACAGCGAAGAAGAAGAGGACGATGACAACTATGTGCCCCCTCAATACAGTGATGCTGCAACGGGGGAAGCTGAAGATCAAGAGGAACCAGACGATGTGCCCGATGATGATCTCCGCCTGGTCATTGTTGATGCAAGGGAAAAGTGCGAAAGTGAAAAGGAGAAGCTGAAGTTCGATCGCATGTTAGAGGATCACAAAAAATGATTTTACCCCAATTGCGAAGATGGCAACACAAAGCTCGGTACCGTACTGGAATTGCTGCAGTGGAAGGCAGAGAATGCTGTGCCTGACAAATGATTTGAGAAGCTACTGAAAATATTGAAGAAGAAGCTTCCAAAGGATAACGAATTGCCCGATAGTACGTACGCAACAAAGAAGGTTGTATGCCCTCTAGGATTGGAGGTGGATAAGATACATGCATGCCCTAATGACTGCATCCTCTACCGTGGTGCGTACAAGGATTTGAACGCATGCCCGGTATGCGGAGCATTGCGGTATAAGATCAGACGAGATGACCCTGGTGATGTTGAGGGCGATCCTCGTAGGATGAGGGTTCCTGCGAAGGTGATGTGGTATGCTCCTATAATACCACGGTTGAAACGACTGTTCAGAAACAAAGAGCATGCCAAGTTAATGCGATGGCACAGTGAGGACCGTAAGAAAGACAGGAAGTTGAGAGCACCCGCTGACGGGTCGCAATGGAGAAAAATCAAGAGAAAGTACTGGGCTCAGTTTGCAGGTGACCCAAGGAACGTATGGGTTGATTTAAGCGCGGATGGCATTAATCCTTTCGGGGAGCAGAGCAGCAATCACAGCACCTGGCCCGTGACTCTATGTATGTATAACCTTCCTCCTTGGATGTGCATGAAGCGGAAGTTCATTATGATGTCAATTCTCATCCAAGGCCCTAAGCAACCTGGCAACAACATTGATGTGTACCTAAGGCCATTAGTTGAAGAACTTTTACAGTTATGAAGTGGAAACGGTGTACGTGCGTGGGATGAGCACAAACAGGTGGAATTTAACCTCCATGTGTTGTTGTTTGTAACCATCAATGATTGGCCCATTCTCAGTAACCTTTCAGGACAGACAAACAAGGGATACCACGCATGCACGCACTGTTTAGCTTACACCAAAAGTATATGCCTGGACAGATGCAGGAAGAATGTGTACTTGGGCCATCGTCGATTTCTCCCGACCAACCACCAATGTCAAAAGAAAGGCAAGCATTTTAAAGGCGAGGCAGATCACCGGAAGAAGCCCGCCATGCGTACCGGTGATCACGTACTTGATATGGTCTCTGATTTACACGTAATATTTGGAAAGGGTCCCGGTGGACTAGTTGTTGCGAATGACGCTAAGGGACGCGCACCCATGTGGAAGAAGAAATCTATATTTTGGGACCTACCCTACTGGAAAGAGCTAGAGGTACGCTCTTCAATCGATGTGATGCACATGACGAAGAATCTTTGCGTTAACCTGTTAGGATTCTTGGGCGTGTATGGGAAGACAAAAGATACACCTGAGGCACGGGAGGACCTGCAACGTTTGCACGAAAAAGACGGCATTGCCTTCAAAGCAGTATGAAGGTCCTGCCAGCTACGCTCTTACCAAATAAGAGAAGGAAATCTTTTTTGAATATCTGCTCAGTATGAAGGTCCCGACTGGCTTCTCGTCGAATATAAAGGGAATAATAAATATTCCAGAGAAAAATTTCCAGAACCTAAAGTCTCATGACTGCCGCATGATTATGACGCAAATGCTTCCGGTTGCATTGAGGGAGCTTCTACCGGAAAACGTCTGATTAGCCATTGTGAAGCTATGTGCATTCCTTAATGCAATCTCTCAGAAGGTGATCGATCCAGAAATCATACCAAGGCTAAGGAGTGGTGTGGCACAATGTCTTGTCAGTTTCGAGCTGGTGTTCCCACCATCCTTCTTCAATATCATGACGCACGTCCTAGTTCATCTAGTCAACGAGATTGTCATTCTAGGCTCCGTATTTCTACACAATATGTTCCCCTTTGAGAGGTTCATGGGAGTCCTAAAGAAATATGTCTGTAACCGTGCTAGGCCAGAAGGAAGCATCTCCATGGGACATCAAACAGAGGATGTCATTGGGTTTTGTGTTGACTTCGTTTCTGGTCTTAAGAAGATAGGTCTCCCTAAATCGCGGTATGATGGGAGACTCACTAGAAAAGGCACGCTAGGAGCGGACTCAATAATATGCAGGGACGGGCATTCTTGGTCTCAAGCACACTACACAATTCTACAGAACTCTACCTTGGTGACCCCTATTTCGATGAACACAAGAACAGTCTGCGCTCCAAACACCCGGAGCAGTGTGACGAATGGATTACATGTGAACACATCATGACTTTCAGCAGTTGGTTACAAACACGTCTCAGAGGTGACAACACTGTTTGTGATGAGTTATACTCGTTGTCCAGGGGACCATCTTCGACTGTATTGACTTACAAAGGATACAAGATAAATGGGAATACA